CCCCCCCGGGGCGGAGGCAGCACGGGGAGCCAGCGGAACGCACTCTCTGCTGCACGGAGCCCACGCCAGCCTCGTTCCCGTCCAGTGTGGTGGCCGAAGCCACCCAGCGGCCACGAGCACTCGCGGAGCTCGCGGGGCCTGAGCCCAACGGCCCGTACACGGCAGGGTTGGAGGGAAGCCCTCGGCGCACATGCAGACCCATTACCCGGCATCCGTGTGGTTGTCTGAGGCAGCTCTTCTAGGTTGGGATGGCTTGGGCTCCATCGGCTCCACTCCTGGTTCTGTCTCGGGGGGTCAGAAACGGGCGGTGTGGTCGGAACTACAACGATGACGGGAGCAGTTAGGAAAACATTGTTTCTCGAGCCTTCGCCACGTGCCCTGAGGCCTACAGGGGACCTACAGAGAGCTGTGCGGGCAGCTGTGTGCAGGCAGGTGCAGCGAGAGCCCTGGGCGGGCCGCAGCGCTGGCAAGCGTCTGGTGTCCTCCGCGTGCTGTCGGGAACACGGGACCTCCGGAGAGCAGCGTGGGAGCCGCGCAGCACAGCAGCCAGGAACACCAGCCCTCCACCAGGTGGCCGCAGCTGCCGGGGTGCCCCACGCAGTCCGCACGGCCGTGCACTGGGAGCTCCAGTCTGACCACCGAAAGCAAGCTACCGGGCCCTGGCGGGAGAGGCGGGCGGCCGGAAGTCGTGCCACGAGGGTCACTGTGTTCCGTCAGTGACGGTGGGGCATCAGTGGGGCGGCCTGGGCTCCCCATGGGTGACTCGGGAAGGACGCCTGTTGGGCCACCGCGGGGTTTAGCCACGCACTTCACACATGTGTCGGACGCCTGTGCACACATGTATCCTCATCAGATACGAAGCAGCACGGGCAAGCCATTCACCGCCAGGAGAGGAGACCGAGACGCACACCAGGCAACCAGCCACCATGACAGCGGCCCCCCGACAGAGCCGCGCCAGTGCCCCAGCTCCTGGGCGGGAGAGGCGGCGCGGGCAGAAGCGGTGTTTTTCCTGGAAGCAGACTTGCACACCCTTCCTCTCTCTTTCAGGCTTTACGTAGAGAGCAGTGATAGAACGAGACTCTTCAGAACCGTAACGCAACCGGCCCCACCTCCTCCGTAGGAAACCACTGACCCAGCCGACCACGTTCCCAAGGACAGGAGAAGGGGCTGGTGACCACCCTGCCCCCGTGCTCAGCACTGAGCGGGAAGGGGAGAGGAGCCTGGGAACGTGCCGTGGAGTGGGACGCCGTGAGCAAGTCCTGGAGCTACACAGCTACCTACAGGCCGCCGAAGGGAGCTTGGTGTCCCAGGGTCAGGCTGTGCCCTCCTGAGGGGCTCACCCACAGGGCGGGTCACACCCTGAGCTCAGGAGCCAGTGTTTTGGTGCTTTGGCTCCGAAGCTGCTGAGCACGGTTTCCTACGACAGGCTGAGCTCTGCAGGGGCGTCTAACCCAAGAACACATCACATGCAGCCCGGCTCCGGGAGAGCCAGCTCATCCTCCTGCCCAGGCCAGCGGGGGAGGGCAGCAGGGCAGCGGGCTGCAGGGCTGGGTCCACCTGGGAAGGTCCCAGGTTCACATCCCAGGCCTCCTTGTGTTCTGGGTGTACGTGTGTTTGCCCCTGCCCCAAGCTGGGTGGGTTTCAGAGTGAAGGCCCTGCTGAGGGAGCCCTGCTCATGCCCTCTCTCTATCTCTGTCTCTCTCATGAGAGAAACAAGCTTTAAAAAATAAAAACGAAACAGTGACTATCTGGTTCACCTGGCAGCACTTGCTGTCTGCCCCATATACTCAGATGCGTCCAGGGCTGTTTCCGCGGCCCCTCCCTCCCTGGGCTCCATGGGCATGACATTCTGGGCTTCCATGGGCGGGCAGAACCCTGTGGACCCTGGACAGCTCATGCGGCACCCAGAACCCTTCTCGAAGGAAAATCCGGCGGTCGGGGTCAGGGTTCCCGTGCCTGCTCCGTGAAGTCCTAGACCATTACTGATCTAACGCAGAAGCCCGGCCGCCCGGCCCGGCGTCAGACCAACGCTGCATGTAACAGTTCCAGGAGCGCTTGCAGCCCCGCTGCTGTCTGTCCTCAGAGGCTGAGTGACGCGTGGGCGCTGCCGCGCTGAGGGCTCTATGGTCCATGGGCCAGGACCGCCTTGTCGAGGCTGACCTCGCCCTTCCTTCAGTTGCCCCGCTCTCTGCGTGCCCAGATCACTTGTCAAAACAGAATTTGCTTCTCTGACCTCAACTGGGTTTGGGTCAACTAAGACAACTCTCGAGGTCTCGGGTCCTCGGCCTCCTGGGCCTTCAGTTCGGGCTCAGCTGCCACGTTCGCTCACGTGCTCCGAGCACCTTCCAGGGCTGCTTTGACGGCCAGGACCCCGCGACGGCCAGGGCACTGCTCTCTGCCCTGTGCCAGCGCAGCCCGTGGGACACCAGAGTCTCATGACACTTACGTCACTCTCTGGCAACGCTCGGCCACCTCAGAGCAGCAGCAGACCTCAGAGACACAGGACAGAGAGACTGCCAAGAGATGACCCCCATTTCTCCTCTAAATTTGTTTCCGCTTCCGTTAAAAAACTCTACCTCTTCCTCCCCAAGCTCATCCCAGCACGACCACGGTGTAGCCGGAGGGCCGGCTTTTCATGCAGACTACTTCCCCACGAGGCACCGCCGGGCCTCCCCGCCGGCCGGCGCCTGCACAGCGTCCCACCGTAAGCGGGTCCTTACTGGAGCTGGAGGTAAAGTCTTCGTCGTCCTCAGTGCCCGAGCCGGAGAAGCTGGGTCTGTCTGCTTCTCCCTCGTGGTCCCCGCTCGGCTCCCGGCCTGCTGAGGCCTTTGGATCTGTACCTGTCGTGGTGACGTGCGTTAGTGACCGAGCTGGGAGCCGCGCGAGCCGTGTGCAAAGGACGGAAAACAGCTGGGACGGCTTCACGGCGTTCCCAGGGCTTTGAAAGGCAAGTGGAAAGGTTGGTTTGTACACCCTGAGTTCTGTCTTGGTCTGTAACGCCCGAACAATTGACCTAACCTCCACGACAGCACTGTCTTTAAGGAAGCCAGAGGGATAATGGGACTCTTTGTTGAAGAAAAGGAAACTCCCGTGCTCTAACTGGCCTCGTACTAACTCACTAAAACGGGGACGTCAAGAATGAGCGTAAAGGCTGCACGTACGCCTGTTCACGCTGTCGGGACGCCTCGGAGAAACCTCGGGGCTAGCCCACGCCCGGCCTTTCCGAGTCCCCACGGTTCCGTGCACAAGTCACGAATCCCCTCCATCTTTGCCAGCACCAGGTCCCCTGCAGCAAACGAAGCCAGCGCTGTGTCCGCCAGTCCCGGGCACAGGACTGGAATGTCCGCGGGGATGCCCCCGGCGGCTCCTGCCCGCCACGGAGCTGACTACACAGACGGTGGGCGAATGTTTGAGTCTCGCTTCGGCAGCAGCCAGAGGGGAAGGAGTGCCCGCTCTCCTGCACGGCTGCAGGGGCGTCGCTGCTGGCACACGTGGGCCAGGATGGCCACTGGGCGTCCATGCTGCCGGCGTCCACCCCCACAGCCCCAGGCTCCCACGTTGTCTCAGCCCTGGCAATGCTATTTCCTTTTCTCATGAGAGGTGAGGCCTTTCCTGGCTTCAGTAATTTCTGAATATGTACAAACACTCTTTTGGCTCAATGTTGTCATGAAGAAAGACCGTCTTCTTTTTTATTTTAGAGAGGTTTTTGCTATAGGGCGCGTGCGCTCACCAGACAGACAGAGAGAGACAGAGAGACAGAAAGCGAGAAATCACCCCCCGGGGGGATGGCCACGCCACAATCCCTTCTCCATTCTCCCCTCTGGATCTTGGGCACGCACGCACACGTGCCCGGCGTGAGTTTAAGCCACCGGCCCGGCTGCAGGGGCGTCGCTGCTGGCACACGTGGGCCAGGATGGCCACTGGGCGTCCATGCTGCCGGCGTCCACCCCCACAGCCCCAGGCTCCCACGTTGTCTCAGCCCTGGCAATGCTATTTCCTTTTCTCATGAGAGGTGAGGCCTTTCCTGGCTTCAGTAATTTCTGAATATGTACAAACACTCTTTTGGCTCAATGTTGTCATGAAGAAAGACCGTCTTCTTTTTTATTTTAGAGAGGTTTTTGCTATAGGGCGCGTGCGCTCACCAGACAGACAGAGAGAGACAGATAGACAGAAAGCGAGAAATCACCCCCCGGGGGGATGGCCACGCCACAATCCCTTCTCCATTCTCCCCTCTGGATCTTGGGCACGCACGCACACGTGCCCGGCGTGAGTTTAAGCCACCGGGTCCGGGACTCAAACCACCGTCGACTACGTGGGAGTCCAGCGACATAGCCATTACGCTAACTGCTGGTTCTAAGACCTGTCCTGTTCTCACAGCCCCACGTCAGCCTTCTCCTGGGCGCTAACTGCACAGAGCAGGCAGGGAATGTGCTTGTTAGCGTGGTGAAACGGAAGTGCCGGCATGAGCACGTGTGTGACCTGACGTCCCCCAGGTCAGCCAGAGTTGGTACAGACTGCCAGGAGACACGTAGACAGCATGGCGGGAGCAGCGCACTGCCAGGTGTCTCCGCTGAGCCGAGGTGACCCCTGACTCTGACGGCTGAAACCACCTTGGCCCCTCGCCGCTTGGCCTTGAACCACTAGAGCCCCTTGAAGCTGCTGTGACCACAACCAGGTGACTGTCCAAGGAGGAAAGTGAGTCTCTCAGGACGGCCCCGTGCGCACTCACTGCCCCACCACTGCCAACAATCACCTCTACGTGACAGAAGCCAGGGGGAGGGAAAGCGAGGGCGTCCCACTTCTTTCGGAGGCCAGAGTAGAGCCCACAGAGGGTCAGAGAGGAAGGGCCCTAAATGTCAGCTGGGCCACGTTCCCGGTCCCAGAGGGGAGGACACGGCGCTGGACGGGCTCCTGACTGCTCTGCAGCTGGAGGCTAGTTAGCAGCTCAAAGGCGACACAGGCTTCGTCTTCAAATGGGAGTGTGACATAAAAGAGGCTCGATTTTTGTCTCAGTCCACAAGTCTGAAACAAGGCCTACAGGGAGCATTTCGGGAGATGGAGGTTCTTCTAAATGCCAGGTTGAAGCGGCCATCGGAACGGCCAGCAGCACGGCCAGCACTGGCTTTCGTATGCTGTGCTCCCCGCCCAGGGCCGGCACCAGGCAGGCAGTGACGCAACCGAACCAGGCCGCTTGACACCCTCCAAAGCTGAGAGCTTAGGATTCTGAAACCCACCCTTCAGTGGCCTACCTAGGGCTTCTGCGCACTCGACCTTGGCCAAGCACCACTGTCGCCCAAGAACCTGCCCAACCACAGACAGTAAGAGCGCCTGAAACCCAGGGCACGCGGGCAGGTGGGAGTGCCATCTGCTTTTCTCTGCTACAGACGGGTCCTCGGCGACTCGCCTGTGCCCATTCCGCAGCAGAGCAAGGCGTCAGAGACAGAGCTGAAGCGGCCCAGCGGAGCGCAGGGGGAGGCTGGAAGCCAGTCTTGATCTGAAGTCCCCGACACTGCAGCTGCAGCTGCAGCCCTGACGTCCCCTGGGAGAGGTAGGTAATGCAGACACGAAACCTGCAGACGCACTCAAGCCCAGAGACGGCACCTGAGAGCCCAAACGCAGACGTCAGGTGGTCAGAGTTCGAACTTCCAGGGATCAGGAGAGCCCAGGCACGCCTGGATGGACACTGCCGAGGCCTTCGCTTCGTCCCGTGTGGCCGACGACGCAGACGCAGATGTTACGAGAGCATCTCGTTCTGCACGACCTTCCCTGCCCCTCCCACCCCACATGATCTAATCACCGTGATGAAGCAGCGCCCAAGGACAGGAGCAGGGGCTATCGTGTCTCCTAGCAGGGCAAACGCACAGCCTGGCTCCATTTCTGCAGCTCTGGCCGCAGGAGCATCCGCTGGTTAGAGGCGGCCACAGCCCTCCGGTGACAGGCGAGACAGCGGGGGCTCAGAACCCCCACTCTTTCACCACAAACTCCCCAGTCGAAACACGGCCCGGGTTCAGAGCTGACAGCCTGAGTCGGGCTGGACCCTCAGGCTCTCCTGCCCGCCAGGGCCTGTGCCCTCCAGAGCGCGCGGCCGCTACCGTGGCTGCTGCA